CTCTGAGATGTAGAGGAAGCGTCCCTCATGGCTGACCACAAACACAAAGCCATCTAGAGACTGCACACACACATTTACACACACAGACACGCACACAAAGGTAAACAGAAACAAGACAGACAAATTAGAGCAATTAGCATGTATCGAACAAATTGCAATGAGCTAGAGAACAAACAACATGTCACCCTTCGGCCTCTTGTCTCAATTCACAAGTGCACTTTACGCACTTAAACACAAGCTGCAGCTACACACAACAGCAGCTGCTTTGTCGAACGACAACAACAACACGGAGACGCAACGCGTGCACACGTCCACACACGGGCACGCGTGAACACACTGAACAAAGAGAGGCAGCTTATAGAGCAGGGCTGTTTCAATCGGCTGTAATAAAGTTGGAGACAAAGCCTCAGCCTCACACGCTCGTGAACACACAGCAGACACAGATAAATCCAGAGTCATTACGGGCTGCGCTGATTCTAATGAGAAGTGAAAGGTATACAGCCAGCCCATTTAGAGGGGGGCTGCTTCAGAGAACAATATTAATCGTCATAACAGGCGTCCAGGAGTGAGTTGACGCAGCTTCACAGGTGCTGCAGGACCGGGGCCACTTGGAGCTGTGGGGAGATGAGAAAAAAGTGCTGTTTTGTAGGCCCGGCCAGGCCCTGATGCTGAAAGTGGCTGTGGTAATTTATGCAACTGACACATCCAGTATGCAAATGACCGGACCTGGGTGGGGGGCGTCATGTGTCGCAGCGAGGGAGAAACCAGCCGTCTGAATGTCGGAGAACTAAAGTGCAATTATCGGGCTATTACAGAGGGAGGATGGCTGGGGGGAGGGGCGGGGGGAGAATCATACAGTTTTTCTGGAGCGTTAATTTGATTTCTATCAGCACCGCTCACCCAGCTTTTCCTTTCCTCCTTAAAATGCCGGAGGACCGGAGACACGCGTGGTGTTTCTTTGTTTTAACACAACCTTTCTCACTTCTGAATTTTGCTTCTTTTTTTTCTCCCTCCAACCCTCAACACCCCTCCTGGTCAAAATCTGCAGGACTACTTTTCTGTGCGCCTCCTCTGAGTCTTTGTACAGCGTTTCATCACTCCTACAACTCCCCTTCCTCAGAAAAGCCCCTCAGGCTCCATTCATCTGTCAGCCCAAACGGGAGGCTTTCTATGGCAACAACAGTGTCCGAGCATCTGAGCCTCATCACATGTTTGCGTCTGTGTATACAAATGCGTTTGGGAGTTTGCCCGTGAATATATAATTGAGGATTACACTAAAGCACCGCCGTCCAAACACGCCACACGTTTTAAAGTATGGGCGTTTTAAACACACAGAAGCACAAGATGTTTGTCTACGCTGTAGGAAAATAAGGCTGGAAGAAGGCCTACTGGATAAACTGACGGAAAAAGAGACATAAAAAGGTTAAAAAAAAAAACAGTGTGGGTGTTGTTACCTGCAGGAGGTGAGCTCCTAAGTGCTGCTCGAACATGTCAGTGGCCAGAGAATGAGCTGATCGTCGAACTGCAGAGAAAAACAGGAGATAATCAATAACTTGTTGATTTTGGGCTGTAAAATATTTTATTTTATTTTTAGTATTCTTGCTTTTCTTCTAATTTGACGTTCTCTTTGAGTGTAAAAAAAAAAAGGCACAGGTTTTATTGACCATTAGATACCCCATGACAGTGAGAAAGCAAGACTGTGCAAATTAGTCATAATTTATTACTTATTCAATTAAATCAACCTGTGTTTTTCATCATGTACGTTCAAGAAAAAAACAATAATAATGCAGTTCAGGTGGTTTTACAGTGATGATTAGATGTCTCAGTAAAGATAAGGTGGGTAATTCCATGCACAAAGGCACATAAGGGTGTTTTTAAAATGCATTAAGAGCTTAAACTCAAATAAAGATGAAAAACAAAACAAGTTATAAGTTTACACTGAGTTAAAAGTAATCAATGAATAGTCTGATTGGTGTGCTTTAGAGACTTTATTAGCATCAAACCTAAAATAAATTGCACATTTAGTTGACTAAAAATAATAAATTCTGTTTTAAATATGTTTAGGGATGTTAAAGATGTTGTGAACCTCAAAAAGATACTTCTGTAATCTGAGAGTGAAAATAAAATATGAAAGTTTGCTTAGCCTCCTGCTGTCCTTGGGTCAAAATGACCCCAGATACCGCTGTTTAAAAACTAAAGACTCAGGTCGTTTTCACACCAGATAGTCCGGTAGACTCGGTTCGGTTAGGGACCAACACTCATGACCTTTTGTTTACATTTGAGCTGGTGAGTTTGCATTCACACTGCACTGTGCAGTCGAGCCAACCTGTTGAACCAACCTGTTCCCCCGCTCGCCTGTGGGGGCGCTGCACCAAGAACTACTGAAAGAAATGACACAAAAACCTCTGAAGACACTTCTTCTTCTAGAAATAAAAACAAAAACGGAGTGGCGTCAAATTTTATCAGTTTTAGGAGTTATATTTTGTCATTTTTCAACCATGGACTCAGCATGAGCAGAAGATGAGACAGAAGACCACGGAGAATGTTGTTTTTCACACAAGGCAGCTGACGGCTCCATATGAGGTAAGAGAAATGCGTGTTTGTTAGCCCTGTGTTGTAGTCCTCTTCCTGCTTGCGGAGCGGTGCCCGTTCTGTTTACATTCACACTGTACTCAAACTGCACTCGAGTTTTCTTCTACCGGACCGAGACCTAAGTTTTAGCCCGGACCAGAGTTTGCCTTTTTGTTCCGTGACAGAGTTTGATGGCGAGTTCACACCTCCCCAAACGAACCGGACTTCCTAGGCAAACGGGCTAGAGTTCGGGACAACAGGGCTGGTGTGAATGCACCCTCAGGGGGTCATTTTGACCCTAGGGCAGCAGGAGTGTTCATCCTCCAAACACTAAATTATCATATTCAGTCCCCAAAGAACTCAAAACCTTCAGAAATAGTAATATTTCAGACAGTTCTGTATTTGTTTAAATAAATAAATATTGTGTGAGTTACAGAATTTAAAGTACGAACAAAGAAAATATCAACATCTAAAAAAAATGTCTTTGTCCAGAGGGCATGGGGTATGTCAAAGTTCACATTCATACACACAACACAATACTTACCCGCTTTACACAAATTAAGATTAACATCCAGCTCAGCTTCCAATGCCCACTCAATAAAGTTAAACTTTAGCACTTTTGCTTGTTTCTTCGTTAGTATTTCACATTCATTGTTCATCACGACTGGTGCCAAAGATATTCAAGACTCATCAGAAATCTGTAGATAATTGGTGGTACTTCTTAAAATACATGAGCGATGATGTAAACTCTGATGCTGAAGGCCCGGAGTGGCTTTATGAGCATTTTTCCTCATTTGTTTCTAGTTTTTGGTGTTTCTGAATCAATATTTAAACCTTGTGGTACTCTGGTTCCTGCCATTTTTTTTAGGAAAATCTAGATGAAAATGTGTAATTTTTCTTTTTCTGCTGATGAATATGACTTTTAAACCATTCAGTCATTGCTACTAATAATTAGTTTTAGGGATGCACAATATTCTCAGCATGGTATCGGACGATATTAGCGTTAAAGTTCAATACTGGACATCGGCCATTCCATCAAAATAACTCGCCGATATAAAAGTAGCTGTTTTTGTATGACAACCCAGTGACAAGGATGCCTGCAGCGGCAGCACAACATGATGACGTAACGCACGCCTACCTGATCTGATCACGGTGGAGAGGAAAATTCAAAATGTCGGCGGTGTAGAAGATTTTTTTTTTTTAGTTGAGGATGTCAGATTCCAAAAATTTATGGACTACATTGAGCCTCACTACATCGTAAAAGTCAGAGATATTTTTCCTATGTAAACTTACCCGAGTTACAAGCCGTCATTTCCGACATCAATTAGAAGCTAATAGCACTTGGGTGAGTTTTACCACAGACATGTGGACGTCGTGTTAGCCCCGTTAGCATGATTAAGTCTTACGGAACTATGGATAGACAAAAACTTTGAACTTAAAAAGGCTGTCCTTCATGCACAAGAGTGCAAAGGATCCCACACTGCAGCTAGGAACCTGGAACAAGCCTCCACAGGTGAGACAGCATCGTAGGTGACTAATGCTAATTAATAACATTTAACACTTTTCATTTAAAGTGCTATGCATATCATATGGCTGTTACTGAATATATGTCACCAGCTCTTACAGCTGTTGCACAATTTTTGTAGTAAATAAGCCTAAATAAGAGGACTATGTTCTGACAAAGGAAAGTATATAAAATATCGGTATTGGTTATCGGCTAAATAAGTTTTGACATATCGGATATCGGCCAAAAAATCCAATATCGTGCATCCCTACTTAGTTTGACGCAAGTGAGCTGCTTCATGTAGGACCTTTACGTCAAACTGGTTGATTCCTTGTTACTTTCTTCATCATACACCATCACTCACTGTTCTCTCTTCTGACAAACTAGTTAAGGCAAAAAAGGCTGAACTCATTCTGTAAAGAAGCATGTAATGTTGAACACCCTTCATATTTGAACTGAAACAAAAGAATCTAATCGTTTAGTTGCACTTTAACGTTAAATTGTAAGTGAATAAACAAAATATGCTGAAAACACAGACTGGCTGAATTAGTTTTCTCTCTGTGATGTTAGAGAATCTGATAAGAGAAGATTTGATCATATTTAAAAAAAATAAAAAATGCAGCTGAGGAGAAAAGCTATACAATGCACACCACTCAATCTTCACCAGACATTCAAACACGCACACGCATTTCTTAGACCACACACACACACACACGTGTCTGCATCACCACTCTTAATGCATCCCAAACACAAGCTATCAGAGCTGCTTCAGTACCAAAGTGGTGCTGTTTACCAAGGCAATTACAATACAAATAGAGTTGGAGGTGGTTAGGCGAGAGGAGGGGGAGGATAGGTGGGAGGGTGGAGAAAATAAGAAAACACTGAGGAAGGTGAGAGTGATCACTTTCTCCAAATCAAATGTGGGTAAATGAGAGGCTGCGGTGATGTGGAAGATTCATTTAGCAATCAGGCATTCTTACTGTTTTATGTCAGAAAGAGCATGAGACTGTGTGTGTGTGTGTTTGTGTGTGTGAGAGAGAGAGAGAGCACCTGCCAGGATGCACAAACACACACTCCGTGACATGGCGAGGACCATATGTGAAAAGTAATCTCACTCCAACAGGGCTGCCTTTGAACGCAACATTCCTGATCTGGCAGAGACGAACTACGAACAAGTGTGCGCACAGAATATGTGTACACAAGAGCATATCATTGTGTGCATGTGTGTGAGTCTGTGTGCATGACTTAAAGGATCAGCGGATATGTGTGTGTATGTGTCGCTGCAAGGCTGAGGGAAATCAATACGCGTTATGACAGGAAAATGAAAGCGCTGCTCTGGGTTACAACTGAACAGAGGAGGAGGCTCAGAACACGTGCACACACTCTCACCTCACATTTATAACACACAAAGTTGATGCCCAGTTGAGTAATCGTGATTTAGTTTTGATAAATAGAAGAGGAGGTCTTATGTTAGCGCAATGCGCCCATTCACACTGTGTTTGAGAAGAATGGCTGCAAAGACGAACTCTTCTTTGAGTCACCGTCATCGTTCGCACATGAACCAATCAGGTCTGACAAATGTTTTTTATTGCCGTTTTCCGATAATGTCAGATGAATTTACTGGTCCATACAATGCTTCAAATACAAGCCAAGATGCTGCGAATGCTGCAAGTTGTTCACACACTTCAGTCCTACTCAATTTAACTTATTAGCGTAGCCTAGCACCTACTGATGTGGCATGTCATCTTTTGACGGCAACAAAAATTCGGGCTTTTACTCGTCTCTGCACAAGGTTCAGAAGGCAGTGAGCACTTTTGGTTCTAGGATAAAAATAAAGTTGTATAAGGCCCACTTCTCACAGGATAATGACCCAACAGTCCACAAGCTATAAGAATGTGGTTGAATCACAGCAAATTTAGATAATTTGCTTCTGTGTGAAGGCGCTCGTGATCTGAGCCACTCAGTACTCAGCATTTAGCACCATCATCAGGATCCTGCCATGCTACTGTGATACTACTGCTGTGGGAATCTGTGCCCGCCCCCCTCACCTGTTTGTCTCCTCACCAGGTGTTTGGTATTCCTGTAATTAGTGTCACTCTTTAAATGTTTGAGTCTCCTGTGTATCAGGCAGCGGAACATTAAATGTAATGCCTACACGGTCTCAATCCCTCCTACGTCTACTCCTTACCTCCAGTGTTTATTCCAGGATTTTGTAAATACAGTTGGCTGCCTCTTCAACATTTTTGTTTTCTCCTTTTTGTTAATAAATAGTTTTTTTAAACCTCAATTTCTCTGAGTCTTGCTTGCACCCAGGGTTCAAGACAACCAGATTGTGGCAATTGCCATGAATAAAATGCTGGCGGTCGTTTGTTTCAAAATCCCAAAGACTATGGATAAACTACAACTGCTGCCACCACACTTCCCCATGGAGGAGAGTCATGATGATG